CCCAACTCTTGAGCCACGATCACCCCGATCATTAATAAACGAGATGTTAACAGGCCTTGGTGTTGTTAAGTTAGTAAAAACATTGTAGGGCCTTCAGCGTCACTTATTAAGATTTAAGTCAGCGTGTGTAGATGTTTGAGCCTGTGTGTATACTTTTGGATTGGAGGAAATCCTAATAAATTAAAACTTGTGCATCCAATTCTTGTTTTTTAACGTCTTTAAAGATCTATGCACAATCATTCCACCCTGGAGAAAGAAAACTTCAAAGAAATCATTAAAGGCCCTAAATCACCATGACATTTATGCCCATGTTGAGTACCCACGAACTTCTGACCACAACTGTATATCCACTGTGTAGTTTGCTCTTATTCTGCGGCAGGAAGGACACAGATTAGCCTGCAGCATTTAAACCAAAACTACATTTTGGGTTTTAGGTCTATTTCACTGATATTTTCTTGGAAATTATACAGTTCTTTAAAAAATAAAGAAACAAAACAGAAAGCCATAAATGCGAGCCAACTAACGCAGTGCATGTGTGTTTTGCTGCAGCTCGCCTGCTACGACCAGTCCAAAGAGTTGGTTCTGGCTACTGGTTACTTGACTGACAACATCTTCACTCACTTCCTGGCGAGTGTGTTTGCAGTAAGTGACTCACGTCTGTCATAGCATAGCAAGACAAACATCACATGATTTTCTGAAATAAGCCCTCTGTTCTTGCGCAGGGTGGCTCTGCTACAATCCTCTGTCAACCACTGGATGTTGTTAAAACAAGATTAATGAATTCAGAAGTTCAGTATGTGGTGAGTGTCTTTAAAATGACTTTTCCTGTTATCTGGTTTTGCAGGAGAGTTTGGCTTATTTAGGTCTCTGAGTTCTCCCGCCCTCATCACTCTGATGTTATGTATGTTTTATTCATTGGTTATGGGGAAAATGACACAGCTTGGCATGTCTCTTGTGTGTTTTGTCTCCTTGTTGCAGAGTGTGTCTCACTGCTTAACAGAAACAGCAAAGCTGGGGCCGAATGCGTTCTACAAGGTGGATGTCACATTCACGCAGACATGATGTTTTATACAGCTCTTTCTAATTATGTGCTGTAGTAACCTACAGAGTATTAAGACACTGAAACAGTGCTTTGATTTGTGTCCAGGGTCTTGTTCCTGCAGCTATCCGCCTCATCCCTCACACAGTCTTAACCTTCATATTCCTCGAGCAGCTGAAGCAGCATTTTGGTGAGATGGTCATTACCTGAGGGTGCCATAAGAAAGTTATCCTACGGCCACGGCTATTCCTTCAGGATTTTAATGGCTCTCCATGCTGCACAGGTTGATCTCGACAAACTGAGCTGGGGTCGAGCGGAACCCTCAAAAGTCCGAGACGGAAAGAAAATCTTCATGCTACGTTGTGTAATAACTTGTGTAATAACATCCAAAGCTCCAGACAAAAACGTGGTGACGAAACGTAGTGTTTCTTAAAAACGGAGATGGTTTAAATTATTTACATTCACCACTGTGCTACTTCACTTGTCATGAACTGTGCAACTATAAATATCACCTAAGGTTATATAAGGCTAATAAAGTAATAAATGGATTTCCATTAAATTCAAAACTGTCTCTTGAATGAATATCCTGAACCTGACAAATTAATCTTCATGCTACAAAACCTCCAGTGCCCTCTGGGGGACAGTGTTACACTGAAAAACAGCCTGACAATATATTAATATAAAGTGTATTTGTAATTATGCAGATTGTCAACGGATTTGGTTCAAGACAAGACTGTTTATTTTCATATTATGGAAGGAATGTGAGGGCGGGACAGCGGTGCAGTGGTTAGCACTTTCTCCACTGCCTGTGCAGAGTTTCCATGTTTTTCCCTATTCTGCCACTGATTTCCTGCCACAGTGCAAAAACAGGCATGCTAGGTTAATTGGTGATTCTACATTGTGAGCGCCTGTGATGGACTGGACCCTGCCTCTTGTGCTATGTCAGCTGATGGAAGAGGCCCCTTGGATCCATAGTTTTGCTGGAGAAAATGATTAGAAAGAAAATCTGTGGCAGAAGCGTTACTTTTTCTCATTTTCATTAGTCAGGATTGAGAATATAGTGAGAAAATAAATGATGGGCTTTACGGAAAAGAAAACAAGGCTGATTCAATTGCGAAAACAAGCTTGTGAGACACTCCCTTGTCAGTAATTTGTATCTTTATTTACTTCTCTCACTGCATGAGTGCAGTTATTGCTGGACACATCAGACATCCCGTCAGGCCTCTTTTAAAAAGGAATACTTAACCTGGCTGCTTCAGCTGGTACTAGACTCTTAGACAATTAGATTCACTTGAATTCATTATGACCGTGCTTTCATTAGACACTCAGCAGCTTTTTAAAACAGGAGGCCGGCGGATTCGTGTGAAGACAAAATTTTTGCTTAAAAAAAAGACAGAGAGAGAGAAAAAAAAGTTGTGTGCCATGGTTCAGCAGCTGTATGTGGGTTTGTGGGTTCATGTTATTTAATATCGTTCCAGGTATTATTTTCCTGAGCATTATATTGTACAGCGATGCACAATCCATCACGCTCAGCTTTACAAGACAAAGTGATATCTTTTCCATGTCCCATGGTTTACTCACTGCCTGTATCAGTGTCAGAATTTGAGTGATGATTCTTGTCTTCGGGATCCAACAGCTCCATGCTTGATGCCTTTTCCATGATGTATAGTCAAACAAAAATCAGATAAACTTTCCTTAAGAAGTCACTGATATCACCAAGAGATTAATGCGTAAGTGAAATCAGCTCTTTTTGATGAAACTTTTATGTATTTATTTTTTGTGGTTAAAGGTTGAGTTTCAACTTGCTTATTCCTAACTGCTGCACGGGTTACATGACCCCGTTAAACCTGTGCAAAAAGTCATCTAATGGTGAGCCGGTTATTATGTGCGGTTGTCATGGTGCTTGACGAAAGAGCAGCTTGATGACATAGGTCAGTAATGATAGATAATGCACTGCATAAGAAGAGTACATCTGCTTCCTTTTTTTAGTGTATATCCAGATTTACTTTGCTGTGTATGAAAGAGTCAGACAGTTAAAATAAAATAAAAAAATATTAAAAAGAAGTGTAGGTGTTAATTTATAAAACTTTTTTCTTTTATAATATTAATGTATGAATGTATTTCAGTATTAATTTATTTGCTTGCAAACAGTACTGAGCAGTTGTATAAGTTTTAGATAGATAGCTTAGCCAGCTGCCTCAGGTCTCTAAAAGCAAGCATTTCTCTTGGATGTTGAGGCTCCTGATTGATTTGCATTAAGAAAAATGCTAAATATAAAATTCAAAGAGATTAATAAAGACAATCAATCGATTATCCATTCATCCATCTGTCTTCTTCCTCTTCTCTCAACTGTTATGGGGCAAAAAAATGGAAAATTAAATATAAATAAATAAATAGGGAAGCATATTAATAAAAAATGATCTATTTCTGTCACATTTTTAATTAAATTGAATGCTCTGATTTATTACACTTGTATTATTTTTATAAACTGATTCATTTAGAAATTTTTTGTGGAATTTTCTGCCCTTCATCACCTTGAAGCCTCAGACGGCGGTTCGTGCTTGACGTTTTCTCTTTATCAGGCACTCTATCGCTGGTAGAGACTGACCGCTGCGCCCGAAGACATTCACCGGGGATGCAGCTAATGATGGCGATGATGATGCACATGCACACATGGACAGAAACACGTATCGCTTTCTCGTCTTTCTCCGTTTGCCTTTGATTCTGGATGTGGACGAGGAAGAGATGTCAAAGTCTGGTTTGAAGCTGAGAACTGACAGATTGAATGTTTTGGAACCGTCCTGACATCAGAAACAGAATTTGAGATTTTACATTGAGGTGAATTGTTATACCAGATGTTGCGGGTTCATATCTGAACACGGGGAGAAGTCATTTTCATCTTTGATTTTTACCCAGCAGGATGCTCACTGTATATATGAACAAACAGGCTTTTTAAAAATATACATTTTTATATTTTATTATTTCTCATTGGCCAGTTTGTTGAAATAATAATCTCTTCTTCACACTGAGAAACTGGGCTTGTGCAAATATAAGTAAAGTAAGGGCACAGACAAGGGTTTAAGTCTTTTCCAAAACAGCATTAAGGTTTCAGTTAATGTTCAGTTAGCATCCACGCAAAAACCCCCAAATCAAACTATAAAACCTTGATAGTTATATTTCATGTTTAATTTCACCTTTTCCCCCAGATGTCAGTCTCAGAAGTTGTAACCTGTGAATCAAAGTTTCAGGCTGTTATGTCTTTAAGATGCTGACAAATTGCAAAACTCTTCTGTAGCCTTTAAAGGAAAACACTGACCCTGACCTCATTCTCTGTAATTGTTTATTATTATTATCATACTAAAAAGTAACTCGAGATTATTCGTGTTTAAAACGTTTCTGGATCACAACATTTGTTGAAGACAAGCATGTTAAAACTGGGCATGATTTCATGTCTCTCATGTCAGCTCTGGTTGAATATATCCATACACCACAGTGCTGGCATGTAGCTGTTAACAATTTAATGCAATAAAGATTAATTTAATTGCATTACATTTTTGTGTGTGACAAGAGCCAGAGGGATAGCAAACATCCAAGTAATTCATATGTGGCCTTGATTAAATTTGAAGTGGACATTTGCATGGAATAATGTGCAAAGCGCCTTGAGGCAACTGTTGTTGTGAATTGGTGCTATATAAATAAAACTGAATTGAATTAAAGTGTCTGGCTGCACTCTTTAAACAGCATGAAATTTAAATTAAATGCACTGGGTATGGCCAAGTAGGCTGGTTGGTCCGAAGCGTATGAGCTTTGCAGTTTGTTATACCTCCACTGTTAAGCCTGGACCAGCTGCACTATCACAGTTCAACAGTCTTTTAACATCTAAGAAACCAAAAAAAGCGCTTTTACATTTCATCTCACTGCCAGCTGTGGAAATCCCTTCTTTTCTAGTTTCTTCCCTCCTTTTATCTTACTGATCCATCAGAGTTTTCCTCAGCTTTCCTAGACTCTTACAAGGTAGTTGACAGTCCTCTGTTCTTCTTCTCTGCACTCAGCTGCCAGCTGCTTCAAATGTCAGATTATTCCTCTCATGGGCGATCTCTGTTTTTCCACAGGCTGGTCAGCTCAGTCAGTGCAAGCAACAGTGTTAGACTTCAGTGAGGGTGAAGGTGGGATGACCTGCCAATTACCAAAGTGATCATCCAAACAGCTTAGCAACTGAACAGCACCAAGCCTGTGAAACTTTTCGCAGCATGTTTTTTAAGCAGTGTGACCGCAGACATAAGAGAAAAGCAAACCTATACGTACAAAAATGTTACACTCTGTTAATTTTCTTCTCCATCATCTGGACCCCTGGTTCTTTGTAGTATACAGCAGCAGCTTCTGGACTGGATTGGAAAAAAGGATGAGATTTTAAATCACCGTGCAGACTAATATCAGCAAGATTAGGATTTCAGTCCAGCACAAAAGGAGCTGTTCATTCAGTGAACGTTACTAAGCTTGTTAATAATAAAGCACAAATCTTGCTATTAAAATTAAGAGGTAAAGAGGAATGAGTCAGATTGACTATAATTTTGTCTTTACCATTCTTTAGACATTATTATCTAAATTCATCTTTTTTTTCAACACACAGCCATCAAATGGACCTATTTAATACTTGTTTGAGCAATGACCATTTAAAATCGGCAGTAAAAATGATGGTTAGCATGTTTTCAACTTTTAGAGTTACAATTGATTCTTTATTAGAAGATTTAAAGCTGATGAAAAGTTGTCACTTCGCCTGGCAAAATTGATCGTCACCAGCCAGAAATTGTAACACTGCTTTTGTCTACCTCTGTCTGAAATCATGGATTTAGTTTTTGGAAAATTTTAAGGTCACTTTCAAGTGGCTAATCTGTTACTATTATCACTATAATTTAAATATGAGACCAGAACTTAGATCCCCTCTCACTGCCGCTCCCAGAGTCAAAGTTTGGTGCGTTTCCTTAATGAATCCTTCTCTTATCAACCCTGCGTTCTTGGCTAGAGATGATTTTTCCTACACTGTCTACGTCTGAGGGATTTCTGCCAGCTTGCGTTGGACTGGGTCACGGCACCACCTGTGCCACGCCTGGCTGGCCACAGCAGGCAGTGCTGTAAGCTGAAGGTGCTTCAAAACCACTCTCAACTGGGCTTCATGACACTCAATGTGGGCAACAGAGGGGCCATAAATCTGCAAAATTATATTTAAATGGAAAAATAACCAAAATTACACTTCCCTGGTTTTCATTCGACAATAGCGATCTCCCTTTCTTCCTTTCTTAAAGCTCATTTGCTGCCAGTATCATACTGGGTGGTAACAGCGCTGATCTCCTCGGTTTGGAATGACGACAGAGTTGAGAGAATGAGCGATGGTTTCACGTTATGGAAAAGTTTGTGGGATGGAGTGTGGGAGCCAGGCTTTTCTCTTGAGGTCTGACTGTGGATCTAAGCCTGCATGCCTCCCCTCTCTGCTCCGGCCGGCAGCCCTTTGCAGCCAGAAGAGAGATATTCACATAAACAGGAGCGAAAGCCAGGGTGGAGAAAATCA